GGAGGCAATGTGAATTGCGGAGATCGGACACGTCGACTCTCCGAATTGCGAAGCTGGTGCGCGCAGGAGTGCGAATTGTGCAGAAGGCCACCCTAAGGCTCGGAAAGGTCCTATAGGAATCCATTTTGGGTTTCCTCATGTCGGTTTCATCCTTCTAAGTGTTAGAAGTCGATACCGCACACGCGAAACTCCAAAAGAGGACGGAAATAGGTCGAACTAAAAACGAGGTGGGCACCACTTCTAAGGTTCTAAGATAGTCGCAGGAAGACCCCTAAGGCTAGATCCTAACTCCTACGAGAAATACTAGACCTCACGAAAATTGAGGTCAACATAATCCAATTACAAAACTTTGGATTCAAGTTGGCCCAATTACTATGTGATTCAGGTTTGTATCAAGTATGTCAATCCGATTATTATTTAGGTCAGAGTCTTGTTTACTTTGACACAAAATTGAATGATTGACCTGATTACCATTCAATTTTGGGTTAATTAACATGTGTTAAAATAGACATGAAAATTATTATATTAATTGAGTCATATTTGAGTTAATTTAACCATGTTCATCCAAAAAAATTGCATGATTCATATAATAAATGAGTTACAGGTCAAATCTGGGTTAGGTAAATTTAGTTAAAGTACATCCTGTTTAATTCAACTTAGGAACCCAACGTGAAAACTCAAATTAACACCATTACTCATCAATATGGTGCAAAAATGGAGGGCCATTAGAACTAACCACCTAGAAGTGTTATCCCAAATGCAATGCGTTGAGCTTACCAACTTCATTACACTCAATCATGGAAAAGTAGGATCTTTCCTTGTCGAGTTTACAAAGTTTGCATATTACAACATAATTCTAAGCATCTTTTGTTGAAAGATCTCGCAAATAATAATGATTATATTCATATTTATTATAACTCTATATTTAGAGAGTTATAAATTATATGAGGGATCTTAGGAATCTCTATTTACTTTGTCTCCTTAATTAGAGAGATTAGCTGCATATTATATTTGTTATTATTTCTTTCCATACCTACTGCATTCTGTTTTTATTGCTTTTCTTACCAATAAGTCTTGTAATGAGTATTTATACCCCTCTTTGTATCAATAAGAATAAGTCCTCTTATATCTTTTTCATGGTGTCGGAGCTTTACGATCCGCAGGCGTTCGGTTAATTTACGTATCGTATCGTATTCGTCATCGAAGTCCTTCGGCGAAGACGGGATCTTGATTGATCGACTCAGACAGGATCGTCGTCGTCGCTTGGAAGTCCTTTGGCGCAGACGGGATCATGATCGGCACAGAGACCCGAAACTCCGCCTTTTCGTTCTTCTACTTCGTCGTCGTCTCGAAATCCTTCGGCACATAGACCCAGAACTTCGCGAAGCAACTGCGACCAGAGCTCAAGATGTTCACGTCTCGCTGGCAACTTCGGTCAAACCCTCGTCTGCTTCGTTAGGAAATCCTCGATCGTCTTCTCATTTGGCTTCGTTCATTCGACTTCGCCTACTTTGCCTTCGTTCGGGACTCCTCGATCGTTCGGCTTCGTTAATTCGGCTTCTTGCTCGGTTTGCTCGCTCGATGGGTTCCTGCTGCAAACTCCTAGACAGCACGTGCTCGAGCAAATTCACCGTCCTTCATTTCTAAAATATCTGAAGCCACGTCTAGGACAAGTCAACCTCTTCAGTCATCTCAGCCCGAACCTCGCAGAAATACATCTGAAAATCTTCCCATTCAGATCACTACAATCCACTACAATCCGACTAAATGAGACTAAATGATGATAATTTTCTTCAATGGTCACAATCTGTTCGCATGTATCTCCGAGGAAGAGGAAAGATTGGCTATATCACGGGTGATACTAAACAGCCAGACGTGAATGACATAACATATGTCATTTGGGATACGGAAAACTCAATAGTAATGACATAGTTGGTCAATTCCATAACTGAAGAAATAAGTGCAAATTATATGTGTTACTCTACAGCCAAGGAATTATAGGACAATGTTTCAGAAATGTACTCTGATCTTGGAAATCAATCCCAATTTTATGAGTTGACCCTGCGACTTGAGGAAATTTGCCAAGGTGAGGATTCTGTGACAAAATATTTTAATTCTCTTAAAAGGAATTGGCAGGACCTGGACTTATTCAATGATCATGAGTGGAAATTAAAGGATGACGGCAACCAGTACAAGAAGATAGTGGATATTAGCTGAATCTTCAAATTTTTTGCAAGTCTAAACGTTGAATATGATGAGGTCTGTGGCCGAATAATTGGAAGAAAACCTCTGCCTTCAATTGGTGAAGTTTTTGCAAAGATAAGGAGAGAAGAGAGTCGGAGACGTGATGTTGGGAAAGAAGATGGCAGGTTCAACCGAGTCCGTGGAAGGATCAACGCTGGTTATTCCTGAAGCTCAAGTAAGCAGGAAAACTTCTCACAACTTCTCACAACCAGTCTCACAACCAGCGTGTAGAAGACAAAAACAACCTGCACTGTGACTACTGTGGAAAACCACACCATACTCGGAAAAAATGTTGGAAATTGCAAGGTAAACCACCTAATAGTAAGATAAAATAATCTGGTGAAAATAACACACCTACCACCAATGAAGTTGAGTCATCTCCACTTAGTAAAGAGCAATTAAGTCATCTTCTTAACTTAAACTGCTTCTTAAACTGCTGAAATCTTGCTCATCATCTAATGCGCCTATCGGTTATATAGCACAAGCAGATAGTAATCCTTTGGCTTTTCTAGGAAGTATCATGCCTTGGATCATTGATTCAGGAACCTCTGATCATATGACAAGCTGTTCTCAATTATTGGATTCATATTATCCACGTTCCAGTTCCGAAAAAATCAGAATTGTTGTGACAGTTTTTCACCTATTGCAGGAAAAGAAAATATTAAAATTTTAAAAAAAATCTCTTTGAAATCTGTCTTACATGCAATCTTCTTTCTGTTAGCAAATTGTCTAAAGATTCTGATTATTCCATTTTTTTTCTCTCCTTCCAATTGTGTTTTTCAGGACCGGAACTCGAGGAAGATGATTGGAGCTGCTAGAGAAATAAATGGGTTGTACTACCATGATGGAACTGATTCTGCGAATAAAACAGCTTATGAATTAGGTAGTACAAGTTCAAGCTTTGACTATGATCAGGTTATGTTATCGCATAAAGATTAAGGCATCCTAACTTTCTATATTTCAAATATTTATCTCCTAAACTATTTAAAAATATTGATTGTTCAAAACTTTATTGCGAAGCGTGTAATTTATCTAAAAGTAATCGTGTTTCATTTCCAATAAAATAATATTCTATTTCAAAACCATTTTATTTGATGCACAGTGATGTTTGAGGCCCATCTAAAGTTAACACACTTTCAGAAAAAAAATGATTTGTAGATTTGTAACATTTATTGATGATCAGACACGAGTTTGTCGGGTGTATTTATTGGAAAAGAAATCTAAAATTGAACAACGATTTAAAGATTTTTTTTCACGTGATTGAAAATCAATTTCAAACAAAAATTGGCATTCTAAAAATGGATGATGAGACTGAATATTTTAACAAATATTTGAGAACATTTATTTTGGAAAAATGCATTTTGCATCAATCCACTTGTCGTGACACACCACAACAAAATGATATTGCTGAAAGAAAAAATAGGCATTTACTCGAAGTTACTAGGGCGACTAATCTATTTGGCTCACACTCGACCTAACATTGCCTTTGCAGTAAGTGTTGTGAATCAGTCATGCATTCACCTGGACCTAATCACTTCGAAACTGTATTCCGAATTTTGAGATATCTCAAAAGAACTCCTGAAAAATGACTTTTGTTTAAAAAGAGAGAACATCTTCTAATAGAAGCCTACACAGATGCAGATTAGGCAGGAGACGTAAATGATAAAAGATCCACATTAGATTATTGTACCTTTGTAGGCGGAAATCTGATTACTTGGAAAAGTAAAAAACAAAGTGTGGTAGCAAGAAGTAGTGTTGAAGCAGAATTCCGCTCGGTGACCCATGGACTCTGTGAAGTATTATGTATAATAAGACTCTTGGAAGAGTTGAAGATTCCTATACCAACATATCTATAGCTCATAATTCAGTTCTACATGATAGAACAAAACATGTAAAAGTTGACAAACATTTCATCAAGGAGACGATAGATAGTGGTGTGATATGTATGTCCTACATAACCACTGCTAGCCAAACAACAGATATTCTAACAAAATACATTTCCAAAGTGCAATACAAGAATCTAGTTAGCATGTTTGCCATGAGCGATGTCTTCATGTCAGCTTGAGGGGGAGTATTGAAAGATCTCACAAATAATGATGATTATATTCCATATTTATTATAATTATATATTTAGAGAGTTATAAATTATATGAGGAATCATAGAAATCTCTATTATTTTGTCTCCTTAATTAGAGAGATTAGTTGCCTATTATATTTGTAATTATTTCTTTTCTTACCTACTGTATTCTGTTTTTATTATTTTCCTTACCAATAAGTCATGTAATGGATAATTATACCCCTCTTTGTATCAATAAGAATAAGTCCTCTTATATCTTTTTCATTTTCAAATTTGGATGGCTCGGCCACATGATGTGTAAATGCCTCAAGATTTATGTAAGCCTTTTCACATAGGTATTTAATTATTGCAACCACACCCATGTCACATTCATAAAATTATAAATATCTCATTTTGATTAATAGAAGTCAACCATCCATGAACATTTATAAGAAAAACACAGTTGAAAGCAATATTGACCTCCAAAATTGCAAAACCATGAAAGTATTATTCTAAGGGTGGAAAATACCCAAACTAAGCCCAGTATACTAATGGATGGACAACAACATCTCACAAGTTTAAATCAATAGAAAAGGGACAAATATTAGTAAATTAAGGATTAAAAGTCCTATTGAATATCTAATATGGAACTATTCCCCGCCCTAATGCGAATGTTAGCAATCGTCCCTTAAATGAGATTATTCCCCATAAATCATTACTCCTTCTGTGAGTACGTTCAATACCAATTCAACAAAAAAATTAAAAATAAAAATGTAAAGGTCTACTCTCCATGTTTCTCGCCTTTGTCCGAAGATTTACAGCCAACTCCTATCATACCAATCAAGGGCTTCAATAGATGCACAAGTCTAATGCATGATCCTATATGCAATGACCACAACAACATCGCATAGTGAAAATGCAAGTTATACAACTGAGAGAATGCAGGAAAACCTAAACTACAAAAACATGCAACAATCTTCTCCTGAAGAATAAAGATATCTGAAGAAACAATACAGCATGCGCATAAATACACCTTTTCTCGAATTCAAAAGCGAGGATTCGCTTGGAGAAACCTACCCAAGACGTGCGAGGATGACGGTATAAGAAGATCGTCCTCCGATGAAATATCGATCAGGGTGACGCATTCCATAGCGAAACTACCCTCCGACGAGGATTCTGAATACGTTCGCCGGCGAGAGGAGAATGAGGATCGCCGGAGCGTTACTGAAAGGGAGGATATGGAAAGGAGCAACGAAGGGTAAATTATTTGAAAATGAGAGCAATGGGAATTTAAACGGGTTATCACTTATTACTTTAGGAGGAGTGAGCTTTGCCAGTGGCGCGGTAAGCTTACCACCCATGTTTAAAATTATTCATAACTAATTTATTTGCATTCCATTTTTTTTTTATATATATTTTTGTTCGTGTTTTGCTCGAAATAAAATAAGCCGAATAAGGTCAAATAACGAGTTATTCGTGATCGAGGCTTTTATAATCCAAGCTTAAGAATTTTTTTTTGTCGCTTAACGAAAGATTCGATTATGGGTTACTGAACGAGCCGATCACAAGCTATTCAGGTTTTTTTTTTACCGCCTTACTTTTAGGACGTGTTTTTTCTTACAAATTAAAATCAAATTTTGTTTTCTAATTTATATTTTTTAAGAGGATTATTAAAGTGAAAGTATTTGAGTATTGCTTCTATTTATTAAAGGAGAATAATATATTTCAAATATAATAATTTTAAATAATATATTTTATAACTTTTTATTTGTTATTTCCTTAAATAAAAAGTTAAAAATTAGCATGGTTATATTTTGCAATATAATATGCTCTTAAATTACTAAGAGGGGAATAATTTTAGGTTATGTGTTTTTAGAGACTTTTATGAGGATAAAAATGAGAGTTTAGGTTATGTATTAGGGACATTTACATATATGCCATGTGGATTTACATATCTAACACAACTTTAACTTTTACATTTCTAACCCTCAAAACTTTCTTATCACCTATCACATTTTAATTCATTGTTGAAGTAATATTAATGTAACTACTATGTTTAAAATTGAGCTCTAACAGTCTTTATTGTGGACTGTTTCAACCTCATTTTAATAAGTCTGATGACTATTTTAACGCTTCAATTACTTTGTGACTACAACAATCACATTTAAATAGTTGGGTAGTGATACGCCACCAACAAATTTTCATCGTCCGACACGAATTTGGAAGCATGACACGAATCTCAAGATGATATTTTAAGCAAGAAACATTTAAATCTTGATAAAAAGTCATCTAGAGCTCTAATTTCAACAAACTTATAGCCAAACTGAACGGCTCGATAAGACGAACCTAATGATATGAAAACTAGTTCAATCCGAGTCAAATCAAGCTCAGATAAAGTCATTAAATCACCTTTAGAAGATTTCTGAACACATTTAGAAGGTCAAACAGATGTCCACACTAGCAAGCTTCTACTCGAATCGAGTGTCTTGACAAGATAAATTCAACGAGCCCAATATCACTTAATTCCGACATCGTTAAGGCACTCAAATGTTTATTAAACGCCGCATGATCAGAGGAAACTCTCTAGACCGTCTGATCAAAATGATTGATATTTATGCATTAATTGCACCCATAACACTATAAATAGACCCCCACACCTCACATGAGGTGAAGCTGAATTCTAAAGAGAGAGCCTGAGGCCTTGAAGAGAAGCTACAACTCAGCATCACCGTCAATCGTCGTCGACCGCCATCGACATTTGTCGACCTCAGTCGTCGACCACCGTCGACCGCTGCAGACCGACGAAGACCATCGCCGACCTCCGACAACCACTGCCGGTCGTCGTCGACCTCTGTCAACCGTCATCCACTACCACTAACCACCATCGATCACCACCAACGAGACGTCGTCCGTCAATGTTGTAATCTAAAAAATATAGTCACCATTTCATGTCTGAGGGACAAGGGATTTATGTAATCATCAATCAATAGTGAATTTCCGCAACTGAGTTAGGCCCCATGATTTTTCCCTTACTGGTTTTCTATGTAAAAAACTTCTAGAGTTTTCATCGTTTGTTTCTCTTTTATTTGTATTTGTGTTGAATTTTTGTACAACGCTAAGACGATAGTATGTTACTCTACCACCACGAATTTTCTAGCACGCATCAGGTAGTATTTTGGCACTTTATATATATGGGTATATACCATAACCGTCAACAAGAATCTCAAAGCATTCAAATGGCCCAGAAAACGGTCAGACAACCATGACGTCCTACCACCCTACTATCAACTGAGTGTTAAAAAATCAACCGACACATTATGGTGAGAGATTTGAAAGGCATGCCACGCTGAGAAACTACAGTCCAAACCAACTTGGGTGCAAGAGGGAATCCTTGATCGCAACTAATCAGTCGACCCGCCTTTACCGCAGTGGACGAGATCGACAATTGATCAGGCGTCTCGACCGACCGACACATACTTTGGAATGACACAGTCAAAATTCAGCAGGTCGTCTCATCGTTCAAATTTAAGCAAGTCGCCCTGTCAAGTTACCACCATATTAAAATTCAAATTGTAATACACATATATTATGAAATCCACACATTTAATTTGAGCATCAATTAATTGTATTAATAACAGTGCACATGCCGCTCCTTTTTTTGTAATTGTTACAAAAAATACGTTTATATAAATATGAGACAAAAATATGAACAAAATGACTTTTGTCAATTCTCTCTACAGTAAACTCCTCACTTGCTATAATTTCTCTCTTCCTTCCTTCACTCAGTCTTAAATTCATAGAATGTGTTCAAAAAGGAAAACTTATTATCAAACATCCTAAAAGGTGGTGCGTTGAGTGTGAATGTCACATACGAGAAGTGGAAAAGACTACAAAGGAGAAACTTCCCAAAAAGAGATAACATGAATGGAACCCAATAGAGATGATACGCAACCAAATGTCCATGTACAAGCCCAGGGTTTACAAACCCAACTAACCCTCATGATAGAGCAAATTGAGATCCTCCGTGCAGCGATCGACCAGAGGAACAACCACGCGACTCGTGTGGAAGGCTAGAAGCGGAGCTTCAGGGGATCCGTCCCCAAAGAGCCTCACCGAGGAACCTGCCTATTCCAGGTAACCAAACCAGCAAACAACGGACAGAGGGGCAAGGAAAGTCCCAACACACCAACACAGCCGAGTCTGCAAAGGCAAACATGTGATGGGAAAGAGCATATTTGAATGCATGTTTGGCCGCTCACAAAAGGGGCTTTTACACACTACATTAACGAAGTGGGCCACCGCCCAAACTAAGGATCCCTTGCTTGGATTCTTACAAGGGAAGAACTGACCTGAATGATCATGTAGCGTCGTTTCAATTACCCGTCAACCTACTTCGGATCGACGACCCTATAATGTGTTGTCTCTTCTTTACCACCTTAAAGGAATCAATCATTTAGGTGGTTCAACGATAATGGTCAAGATATTTCTTGACATTCAAAGTACTTTATTTTATTTTGTTTTATTTAATTAGACACTTTTTTATCTAATACTGTCGACAGTCGTTAGCAAAGGAGCAGAAGTTCAACACTAGCATCGCCGACTATCGTCGACCACCGCTGACTTCTGTTGACCATCGCCAACCTCGTCGACTTTCACCGATCATCGTCGACCACCGTTTACCGTCCACCATCGTCAATTACCTCAAATCTCCGTCGACCATCGATGAATGTTGTCAATCACCTCCAACTACCGCCAACCACCTCCAACTGGCGATGTCAATCGCTGTCAGTCGCCGCTCGTTCCTAATAAAAGATTCATCTGCATGTCGACGTTATAACTTGAGAAACTTAGTAACACATCTTGTGGGACAAGTTGTTGCAATTGTTATCATCTTTTTATAGTAGGTTAGGCCAGACCCCATGATTTTTTCATTTTCGGGTTTTCCACGTAAAAATTTCTTGTGTTATTATCAGTTGTTTTCTTTCACGTGAGTGTGTGTTGAATTCTCACACAACACTGAGATGATAATCTAATTGATATTGAATTATTTTATTATATTATTTGCATGCAGCACCTTTTTTGTATCCAGTTGATACTTATGAGCGTTGTTGGATGATTGACACAATCCAACGGCTAGGAATAGATCATCACTTCCACAAAGAAATTCATAATACTCTCGACTTCTTATACAGGTAAAATTATATATATATGTATGTATGTATGTATTTATATATATCTATGTATGTATGTATGTATTTATATATATGTATAATTGATGAGTATTATGTTTAAATGATTTAATTGACCAAATGCTACAAAAAATTATAATAAACTAAAATTATTAATTAAAAAAATAAAATAAAAATATAAAAAATTATTTAAATAAATATTTTAATATAAATAATAAAATTTAAATTTTACTTATACCTTTAACATCTTGTTGTTTGAGAACAACTCGTGTTTGACTAAGGGTCCGTTTGACGTAGTTTATTAGGTGCGATGACGTTTTGAAAATGCACCGGACCTGTTTGGGTAAACTGTATTTTGACAGCGTGTGCATTTTCAAAATGCTGAAAACAGTGTTTTCACACCGCACCTATGTGGCAGCTTTCTCGCAACGGTTTGGTTTTTCCAAAAAAATAAAAATTTGTAATGGCCACCGCACATAGCTTATCAACAAATTATTTTTAATCAGCTTATCAGCAGATTATTCAATAAATTGCAGCTCCCCCAAACAGACCCTAAGACTCCGTTTGGTGCAGCTCATAAGTGCGTGCAGCGTTTTCAAAACACCGCCGTACTGTTTTGTTCGCGCTTTCATCAGCTTATCTGAAACTGCGTTTAAGTTTTTTACACTAAACGCAGGTCGCAAGTCGACCCCTGTGACCGGCCCACGAGCCGCGTTTTAGGATAAACAGTTTATCCAGAAACGCACAAGCTGTCCTAAATGGACCCTAAATAAGCAAATGAGACCAACCGGATAAATTTTTTAAGCTCCATATATAAATGAGCTGAGTAAAAATAGTGACTTTTTTTAACAAACTACACACACTTCTTACCCCTAATTGCCGCCTCATTTCTTATCCTTTGGACCTTGTGGGTGCATTTTCTAGTGCAATTAAACTTTCTAAATTCCGTTAAATCTAACGGCACAATCCAACGGTCACCGTCGACCCGCGCAAACAGTGACCGTTGAACACATTAACAAATTCTGACCGTAGATCCACGGCGGCGCTTATCTTGACCGTCCACACCACCGGCGGCCAGCGGACGCCCCTCTTCTCCGCCTCCCCACGCGGTTGGAAAAAAGATTAGATCTTTCTCCAACTCCAACCCCAACTCCATTTTCCATTTCCTCTTCTTCCGAGAAGACGAGAGGAAACCCTAAGTAAGATCTGTATAAAGTGAGTGGAATCAATCATAATCAGTGCGATTTGCAGAGATTGATTGATCGAGCGATCGAGCGAGTTCCTTGTTTCCATTCCCAAATCTCGTCTGAGATCTTCTCCGTAGAGATAGATGGACGGAGCTCCGGCGATGGATTTTCCGGCCGTTCTTACTCACGGCGGCCGTTTTCTTCAGTATAACATATTCGGAAATCTCTTCGAGATCTCTGCTAAGTACCGCCCGCCGATTATGCCCAACGGAAGAGGAGCTTATGGGATCGTTTGGTATGTTCTGGTTTTCTTCTTTCTTTAGATTTTTGATTCTGTTCAAGTTTTCTGGTTCTGGGTGGGTTCGGATTCTGTAAAAGATTGATATATTTTTTTTAAATTTTTTTTTTACAGCTCGGTGATGAATTCTGAGAATGGGGAGATGGTTGCGATTAAGAAGATAGCGAATGCTTTTGATAATCATATGGATTCAAAGCGGACGCTAAGGGAGATTAAGCTTCTGAAGCATTTGGATCATGAAAATGTGAGAAATTGACTGTTACCTTTGGCTTTTATATGGTGATTGGTGGGAAACGGTGATAAAAGAATGATTTTTTGCTTTCTTGTGCGTTGTTGATCATATGATTTCTTAATTTGATAAACTTTGTTGTATTTATGTAATATTTTTTTTGGTCTTTATGCACTTTGATTGATTTGTTCTCTTTGCTCTTCTTGTATTGCTTAAAATTAGGGTTTATTTTAGTTTATGTGCTTTTCTTGGTTTTATGTCACAAGGATTTGAGGGCAAAGCCCTCAAAAATACAAATTTTTGCAAGGATGTTATGCGGATTTTTTGTATTTTCATTTGCTTAGAGGTCTTTCTTCCTTATAAATTGTGGGTGCTATCTTTGCATGGTTTTGGAAAAGTTAGAATTATCTTTATCCATAATTAAAATATAGTGAAATTTATAGTGCTTTCAATAGAATTTAGCCGAAAATTGAGTGAATTTATACGAAATTATTACATGTTTTTTTTTAACTTGATCTTCTTTTTTCTATTTGCTATTATTTTTCACTTTTTTGTTTGAATGGGTTTCACCTATTGGATGAAATTGAATAAAATTCTTGTTTGTTTTTATGTGTTGATGAATGTATATGATGCATTATCAGCACATTTGTATGAATTAAAATATTTGGAAAATGAAAGATTAAGTCGCTCTTGAGTCTCAACACACTTAGATCAAGAGTCATGTATGATTGGATTTAAATTAAGTTTTTTAGGCTAATGATCACATGAATTGTGCATTACTTGGTCTTGCTATTAGTTATTGAAGAGATAGTTATGTAAATATTGCAAAAAGATAGAGGAATTAACACAAATTTTATTTATTATTGTTCCTTGAGTCATTTGAGATTACTTTTTTTTATTATACACACTATGGTTTCAATGCAAGGAAACAATATCTTAACATCATTGCTTTAAAATTCTACCAAAATAGATCCAAAATAACTATTTTGAATAGTAGAGAGTGGCCAAATATGTCTTATTTTCGTGGGTTTTAGTTGTTTTTGTGTATATGACCATTGCAAGTATGCGAACATAAAGTATTGTTCAAAAGTTTTCATTTAATGCCTAAAATTTCACTCTCTTGCATGCCCACTTTGACGTTTGAATAGTCCATGTGTAGCAATGCATGATTGTTTTGTAAGTTAAGCTATTGCATGGCTTCACTTTCGCCAAGCCATGGCTCGTAATGAAAATAAAGACATTCGTCGTTGAATTGGATTGATAATTTTTAATTATATCACACCAGATACAGTGTCAGAAGCACAATTTTAGGGGCATTTACATACATACAACCAATTCCTATGTATTTTTATATCTAACACCTGAATTTTACATTTTACATTTATACTACTCAGTTCTTTATATCACATAAGAAATACCATCATTTTAACATTTAGAAAGTGAAATATGCATTTTCATGCATAAATAAAACCTTAAACCCTAAACCCTACCCTGTAAAAATTTAAGTTTAGATGTTAGATATGTAAATACATATGTAAATCTTCCACATTTTTTTAGAGCTTATACAACAAAAAATTTGAAAGTACACAAATTTTAATTATCATGCCATATGGGAACTATTAGAAAGAGAACTTTGTTTTAATGTAGAATTAAGTCTAAATTTTTTCCTGATATCCGTTTTAATTAACATTTAATTACTTCTTATAAGCAAATCTTGACTGCTTATGTTGCTTAAATTATACTGCATTTTAAAACAGGTGATAGGAATTCGAGACGTCATTCCGCCGCCGATTCGTGAAGCATTCAATGATGTTTATATTGCAACAGAACTCATGGACACCGACCTTCACCAGATTATTCGTTCGAATCAAGAATTATCAGAAGAGCACTGCCAAGTAATGAAATAAATAAGAAAATTTAAAGAAAGATTTATATGCATACCGCTCGATTCAGATGTCTTTACATATCGATCACATAAACTTCAATTTTTACATGTATGCCCACTTATGCATGAAAGGTTGTATTTCACTTTTCAGACGTTAAAATAGTGGTATTTTTTATGTGACATGAAAGATTTGGGCGGTGTAAACAGAAAAACAAATTTTGGGCATTAGATATGTACATACATAGGAATTGGGTGTTATTATGTAAAATTCCCAAAATAAGAACTTTAGAAAGATTTACATACGTACCACTTTGTTCCTATGTATTCACATATCTAACATCTAATGAAACTTCAATTTTGTCATATATGTCGCCTTACCTATACATGAAAATGTGTTTTTCACTTTTCAATAATTAAAATAGTTGTAATTTCTTATGTGACATGAAAGATTTGGGTGGTATATTTGGGTGGTATAAATGTAAAATGTATAAATGTAAAATACAAATTTTAGGTGTTAGATATGTAAATACATAGGAGTTGGGTGTTGTATTTGTACATGCCCTGTACATAATGTAATATTCCTATATATTTACATATCTAACACCTAAATTTTGATATTGTTTACATGCATATCACTCAAATCTTCAACAACACGTCAAAAATACCACTATTATTAACTTTTTAAAAGGAGACACACCTATTCAAGCATTGGTTTATAACACCGAAGTGTTATAAATATAAATATCAATTAGATACATTAATAAATACTAATTGTATGGTATGTATGTAAATTTCCTTTCATCATATTTTACTAATTGGTGGCTTCTGAATGATCGTGTATCATTGCAGTATTTTCTATATCAAATTCTACGTGGATTGAAATACATACATTCGGCCAATGTCATCCATCGAGATTTAAAGCCGAGCAATCTCTTGTTGAATGCAAACTGTGACCTTAAAATATGTGATTTCGGTCTCGCTCGTCCAACGTCAGAAAATGATATGATGACGGAGTATGTTGTCACGAGATGGTATAGAGCTCCAGAATTGCTTCTCAACTCCACCGACTACACCGCCTCCATCGACATTTGGTCCGTCGGATGCATTTTCATGGAGCTGATGAACCGCTCTTCCCCGGAAGGGATCACATGCACCAAATGCGCCTAATAACCGAGGTGAGGGCGATGAAACAAAATAGAACTGGTCATTTTTACATTGATATATATATATATATATATCACAAAAGTCTTATGTATTTACATATCTCGCACCTAAATATTCATATTTACACACAATGCTCAAAACTTCAATATCACATTAAAAATAGCACTATCACCACTTTTAAAAAATTATTTTATGTAAAATTTTCTTTTCTTTCTCAAGTAATTGATGCTTTCAAGAGTTGGTTGGTCTTATGTTAAGCTTATTGGTACTCCTACCGATGCTGAGCTCGGATTCGTTCGGAACGAAGATGCAAAAACATATATAAGACATCTCCCCGTCCTCCCTAGGCAATCATTTACAGCTCTGTATCCCCATATTAGTCTTGCTGCTATAGATCTCGTGGAACGGATGTTAACTTTCGATCCCTCGAGAAGAATCACAGGTACCTTATTTACTCAAGGAAGATTTACATAGATACCATTCAATTCTTATGCATTTACATATCTAACACCTATACTTCAATTTTTATTTACGCACCACCTTACCCATGCATGAAAAGGTGCATTTCACATTTCAAAAGTTAAAAAAGTGGTATTTTTTATGTGATATGAAAGATTTGGGTGACTTAAATGTAAAAAAGTAAAGTTTACGTGTTAGGTATGCGTATATATAAGAATTGGATGGTGTCTATGTAAATGCCCCTTTACTTAAAGAGTTGGTTCATTTCTTGCATTGGATTGGATTTTAGTGTCTAGAGTAGCTTAGGATGTCCATATCTTGGTTTCAATAGGCTAACAAGTGGTCTTATGCGCGAGTCTATGGGTCTCGACACATTGATTACTCGGATATCATTTGATTCAGTTTAAAACTTGGGGCATTTACATGCATACCACATAATTCTTATGTATTTACATATCTAACACCTAAACATTCATATTTACATGCAATATTTACATGCATACCACTCTACCACTCAAATCTCTAACATCTCATCAAAAAATACCACCATCACTATCTTTGTAAAAGTTAAATACACATGCATAACACCTAAACATTCATATTTACATGCATACCACTCAAATCTCTAACATCTCATCAAAAAATACCACCATCGCTATCTTTGTAAAAGTTAAATACACATGCATATGTTCATAAAACCAAAGTGTTATAGGTGTAAATATCAAACTTTGGGTGTTGGATTTGTAAATACTTAAGAATTATGTGGTATGTATGTAAATTTATTCCTTAAATACCAATTAATATAGTTTCAGAGGCATTGATGCAAAATAATGCAAGCTTGGGACATAAGAAGGCTAGAGAAAACAAAGGAAGAGAGTTGGGAGAGTAAGAAGATGTGCTCAAGAAATAACTTATGATTCAGTTTTATGTTTGTATCTCATTAATTAGAGGACACCATATGTGCTTATTATAGCAATATAAACTCTAGAAATGAGCAGTTAAAGCAGTTAAAATGTAATTAGTGCAGTCATTATCCAAAAGATGTTTTATGATTGCTAATTAATCTCCCTCCCCCTCTCTCTCTATAGCAATATAAGCTCGAAAAATGAGCAATTCATTCATTAAAACAATGTTAATCGAGTCATTATCCAAAAGATGTTTTAGGATTGCAAATTAATCTCACTCCCTCCCTCCATTTATAGCATTATAAGCTCCATAAATGAGCAATTTTGCTGTTTAAAATGTCGTTAGTCGAATCATTATCCATAAGATGATGTATGATTGCTAATTAATCTCCCTCCCTCTCTCCCCTCTCTCCCTATTGCTTTGACAGTTGATGAAGCTCTTGCACACCCATATTTGGAAAGACTACATGATGTGGATGATGAGCCTGTCTGCATGGAACCTTTTTCCTTTGATTTTGAACAACAAGCATTGACAGAAGAACATATGAAACAGTTGATATACATTGAAGCATTGTCATTCAATCCGACGTTTGGTCATTAGTTTGAGTTAAATATTCATTAATGGTGTTTTATGCATCGATACGAAGCTTGTGTTTTCGATATAATAAGATGTAGAGAGGATAGTTGATTTGTTTAGGGTTGTTCTCTTCTAGTTCTATGGCCTATATGATGTGGCATATGCTCTTTTTTTGTTTTTAATTTAATTTTATGTTCTTAATGTGTGTTAAGTGTTCATTGCTTTTGGTATATTTGCATCTTAGAATATTGATGAGTGAATATTGTCTATTCTTATGTTTATGAGAGGGTGCTTGAGATGCTATAAAATATAGCTCATGTAAGATTTGTCAAAAATATAATTTGTTGCAATTGATGGTAGTTTATTTGTTATTTTCTCTTTTTTAATTTGAGATCAAGGCTGATGATTTTATGCATGGAGGTTGAGATTTAAGAGGAGGATTTTATGATGGAGGTTGGTAGCATTGCCTTGAAGGTAGAAGCTTGCTCATCCTTTTTGGGGTGGAGCCTTGGAGTGGATGTAGTGTAGCCAAAGTAAGTTGGTGAGGGTCTTTTTTTTATTAATTTGTGAGGTGGTCAAGAGGTAGATCGTTGTGAAGTGTATTTATATGTGGCTTTGAAAGGGATGCTCATGTATTGCTCTTGGAAGGCTTGGCTGAGAGTGGTGGAGGGGAATTGGAGTTACATTATATGTGGGGGGAATTTAGAGGTTAGTGAAGGGAGAGAGAATAGCTTATGGTTTTGAGGAGGGAGTAAGCCCTAGGACTGATGATATTAGGGTTTGGGATTTGAGATGGAGGCTGCCGCCTATAGGGGGTGACGGTGGATAAGGCTAAGTCGAGGAATAAGTTCTTTGTGTGTGTGCGAGTGTGTGGGAGGGGACATAGGGAGTTAATAATGAACTCAACAAAATTCTTGTAGAGGATCTACAATTAATATTTATCAAGGTTTCACATATAAACAACATCAACTTAATATTTCATTTTAAACATTCAATAAAGTACATGATGTATTTATAAAGCAAAGAAAAAAATAGAAATTCAATAAGTTAAGCATAAGGTAGGCATTTCTCAATTAAATGTAATGTATGAAGTGGTCAAACTAAAGAGTTTTGGAGGGAATAGTCAATTATTTTCTCATGCTTTTGATTTGCTTGGAATGCATGAGGGTCAATCATTCTTCTACGGAATGTGTATTGATCATGATTTAATACTCATGTTAGAATTCAATGTGGAGGGTAAACGAACTTGATTCATACTCTTTTAGATTTGGAATGGTGATGATGATGATGATGATGACCTTCAATCTTGATATAATGGTTTAATGAAAGATCTAATTATGTGGTGGTATTGCATTTACAAGATTGGATCACAACAAATTTTTCTCTACGAAGTTAAAATCAATAGTCCTTTGTATGGCAAGAAAAGATTCTCTCTTTAAAGTCATAGCTAACTACATGGTTGTTAGAAGGAGATGGGTTGTCTATATCTATGGAAGTTGTGATTAAGAGAATTTCTAACTATTAGGGAATGTGGGTGGTGAGGGAATCATTATCTCCATGAATAGGTTAATCTATAATTTTGGAGATTTATACACTTCTCTGTTATGAAAATATTTATTGTTACAGAAAAAAAAAATAGACGAAGCATATCAAGAGATAAGAAAAAAAGAATTTAGTCAAAATTACCTCTGTATTTTTTTGAAATTTGTGATAATAAACCATTTAAGAAGATAGTTTAAAATATGATATGGTCAGTATGCTCTCCTAAAGAATGTTTTGAATCAATAGATTTAGCATATTTGACAAAGCTTATTTCAATGTATTGTTCCATGTGGCATATAAAGGTTGTACTAAGAACATACAAATGATCATGTTGTCATCCTAAAAGCAATTTGTAATGCTAGTGATAGCGAGATTCTTCTCAAATAAACTATTTTTTAGTTTATCAAGCTAATTATATCTTTAGTTGAGTCAATTCTAAAATGAGCCAAAAGGTGTTAAAGATATTTAGAGCAAACTACATAGCTTTGTGAAAGAGCAATTCATTGGATAGCTTAATATTAAATTTGAGATCACAATATTTATCAGTATTTCAAAAGGCATAGGGATTATAGCTCTTTTTCAAGAATGGGGTGAAGCGAAATTTTATCAAACAAAACATTTAATTGCTTCAAGTTAATATAGTGAATGTAATATCTAATATTTATTTTAATTTTATGTGATAGTGGTTGTCACCATGAAACCTACTATTCAAACAAATGGCTTTAACAAAACATCACTTGGAAAAAATATATGCAAATCATTTATCATACAAACAATATCAACGTGGAACTAATGCATATTGAAAGCACAACCACATGAATTTGAGTGTTAATGGAAAGGTCCATGCAACTTTCTTTATTAATTTGCCTTAGCCTTAGTAATTAGAAGAGGAGGTAGACACCAAATCATCACCCATAGTACTCAAAATGGCAAATAAGTGATGGGATGCTAAGAAGGCAAAGAAACAAAACAAGTCTAAAAGTTTATACTTAAAGATTAATCAATCAGGAAAAGTTGACCCCTTTAATATGAGACTCCTCCATGTATAAAAGAGAAAAAAATAGGATGACTTTCTTTGAGATATATTAAATTTATTTTAGCCATATTTTTTTGATATAATGTCATGGTTTATTTAATCCTTGATTTGATACTTCTTATAAGCATAAGCTGATATAGTTAATTACTCATCATACTTATGAGAGAACACACTAGATTAGATATGTTAATTAGCCTCAATTCTAGGCTCATACTTAAATGTTAGGCTAATGGGGAATGCTTAGGGATTGGTTATGGACTCGATTAAGACCCACCTTTTTTTTATTCTAACACAAGTGGACCAAATCTATGAAAGCTTCAAGACTTTGATCCATGACATCCAAAAAATATAATTAGTATTCATGATTATCTCCCACCAGATCTCTTAAACAGATGATAAAAATATAGGTGTTAAAGATTTATTATCAAATTGGCTTTGACTGGTTTACTAGTTGATGGTTGACCATTTTAGTTTCACTAAATAGTTCAAAGAAACTAATATGACCTTTAATAATTCAATGAGATTGGATATGACATACACAAGTTTAATCATTATGTTTTTAAAAAATACCATTAAATACTCATTATTTATTTTTTTTGATACCCTCATCTTAATCAATAAAAATCATCGGATATCAGCCATAAAAGATTACTTATTTTCTCTATTTATACTTATTACTTATAATTGTTTGTATATAGTTTTTTATTATAAGTTTAAATCAATATTTTTTAAAAAAATTGACTCCCAACATTTCATTCTTAAGATGTGTTATCAATATTCAAAACCATATGAGCCATAATATGAAAACTATGACTTTCACTCACACTCAAGAGAAACTAGTTCAAAGTTCAATCATTACCCAATTGAGTAAGGAGGTTGGGCTACCACCACAATTGAAAAATGGATGAAAGAGGGGGGTTAATTTGTAAATATTAATATTTTGGGTGTTGTGTACCTTTAAACTATTTGACAAACCTAACAAACATTCATGAACACCTAACTTATAACACCTAATTCATTTCACGCGCTACAATCGTACATATTAGTGACATTTACATGCATACCCACACAATTCTTATGCATTTTTATATCAAGTATCTAAATTTTTATATTTACATAAACAACCCTCAAATCTTTAATATCACATCAAAAATATCATTACTATACATTTTCAACAGCAATATGTGCAATTTTATCAGAATGAAATTCAAAATTGTTAAATTTATTTTAAAATATATTCAATAGAAAATTTAACTAATTGTTTTTTTTTATTACATCTAGATTAGAAAAAATCTTATCAATAACCTTTTCAAATAATTTAAACTGACAGTTGTTAAGTGAAACTCTATTCAACTAATTAAACCCTAATTTTTCCTCTTTCAAATTTAATGTAAATTTATTTTTGAAATATTTACATACTCATCAGTCAATTCTCATATATTTACATAACCAACTCCTAAGTCTAAACATTAGAAAGAAAAAAAAATAATTGTCTAAAAGGAGAGCATATTATGTACAGAATCTATATGCATAACGATTCCATGTACAATATTGTTGTATACTATACAATGCATTTACAACAATATACAATACTATTGTACACAGAGTCTGCATGCATACAAACTTACATGTTTCAGCAAATATGAAAAGAAAGTGCAAAGGCAAACAAATTTATACAAAATAGATGCGATGAACAGCGAAGCTAAATAGAATAACTCAAATTCATGTGAAAAACTCTAGACATAAAAAAGGGGGGCATTTTATCATTTACATACGTACTACTCAATTCGTAAGTATCTAACACCTAAACTATATTTTTTATAATTATATCACCCAAATATTTCATATCACATAAAAATGTCTCTATTTTAACTCTCAAAAAGGTTAGACTTCTTTTCATGTATGCGTAAGACGACATGTGTAAAAATTAAAATTCAGGTGTTAAATATATAAATACATATGTGCAAAAATTAAAATTTAGGTGTTAGATATGTAAATACATAAGAATTGAGAAATACATAAGAATTTCATTAGAAAAAAAAAACAGATTTAATACTCGTGTGTGTGTGTGTGTGTGTGTGTGTGTGTGTGTGTGTG